GGACTGGACCAAGATAAAAAACACACAACCCGGAGACTGGAGAGGCGGAACAGATTCATAAAGTGCTTCTTTGGTGACCTCTGACTGCTCAGCTTCATATCATTTATACCCACTTGCACGATTACCTTGGATATGTATCGGCAGGAGTGAAGCAGAGGAGGAGAACGGATGACAGATCTGGGACAGTACTCCGTAATGCATGAGTGACCGCGTTAAATAAGCGACGTGCTCCACGATGAATCTCCAACGATCAGAGTAGTTGGTCGAAAGTGGACGCGGCCGGCGGAGAAGCGCCGGTGTCCATGGCAAACCTGCGGGACTCATCCAGTGATGGGTCCGAACCATGGCGCTGCTAACACAGGAGGGGAGAGGGGGTGTTGAATTCCCAGCTCCGGGCAACCCACGCTGTGTGCACGGAGACCGCTGGAGCAGCGAGAGAGCAGGCTTCCGGGTCGCTGCTGCTTACCCGGTGAAGGTAAGAGGTGTTGATTCACTGGCAGAGACGGTGAATGACCACTCTTTCGTCTGAGACAGCTTCCTGGATACGAGTGTCTTTCCTCGCAGTGGACCTGGATCCACGACAGGCCAGTAAGTTTGCTGCAGATCCAGGGTTCCGTCTGAGGGCGTTTTTCTGCGAGAGCTGCATAGCGCTTTAAAGGCTCAGCACATGGGCCACGGCGCTGGATGCTCCTCGCGTCCGCAGCTCTTTTAACCGACCGGGCACTTAGGTGTAGAAACAAGAGGGCCCAAGCTGACAGATCTCTCCCCACACGACAGTGGGTCACAATTTGCACCCCCCCAGCGCTCAGTGACATAATCCCAGTGAGTGCTGCCCACCAGCGACATCAAAAAGTTTGGACAAGGGTAAAGTACTGTTTATCCTGCACTCTGCAGTGAGGCGAAGGACTTCATTACGGAGGTCTGCATATGGCACGGTCCTCTCACGAATCTCCAAATGTGAGGCATAATGTCGTTCGTGGGTCATTGCAGTGTCACCTTTCCATGCTTGGTGCGCTTCGTGGTAGCCGCCGTGCTACGCGTTTCGATTTGGTCTTTGTGTTAAAAGACGAAATGCTCTGAACCATTGCATTTAAATAATAAAACACTAGAGTGTACCAAAAGACTCTAATACACCGTAAAAACGTGTTTTAAAAGGCTGTAAAAGCTTAAAAGGGTAAGACAGAGCAAAAGACTAAAACGCGTGCTCACTCCACACGTGCCTCCAATAGCCCTTATTAAAGGGCTATTGCGACATGGACAATTTAGTGAAAGTTGTCCATGTCTCCGTTTCACCACGTGCATGCCACATAATTGCTCCCTTGGAATAAGCCGCATTCCTTTTCCATTTCCAGTCATCAGGTGCAGTCAGCTGTGGACTAGTTCGAACGGGAAGACCTTTTCTCTCTCTCTCACTCTCTTTGTTTCAGTGCTTAAAGAAGACTATCGAGTTTCAAGACTAAACAATTCCTTCTTGTCTTTAGGAGGAGCATCATTGTGGTCGTTATCCACTGATCGTGAGGCTTTCTCATTCTGGTGTCAGCCAAACAACGGATGTGGTGGTGATAGACTATATACAATTATATTTGTTTGTTTCCCAAAAACCACACGGACATGAAACATTTGATTTTAATTTATTGACAGGTGCAGGTCTCGTGTTGATATGGTTTAGGACTTTAGACTGAAACAGGGTATTCAAAACAGATCTGACCATCAAAATTGACCCTTGTGGTGATGAGATGAGTGTGATCTGAAGGAAATCCCACTGTAGAGCAGTGATGGAAGGATGCAGGGTTGCACCACGAGCTGAAGGTGTTGGTGTTTAAATCAGGCGGGTCCCCAGTGCCATCTAACTAATTGTGATTAGCAGGAACTGGTGCAGCGAGAGAGGAACACGTGAAGACTTCTAGTCTGAAATTTCACCTTAGCTTCATGAACCATGTGTTGTATACTTTTACTTCTGTGTCCATCAAACAGTCAGTGAAGATTAAAATGCACCAAAGGCTTTATTATTTTACACTCTCCACCTCCAGATGATAATGTAAAAGCCACAGCACATGAGCAGGTCATCAGCACTGTTCCACAGGAATAACCATGGAACCATGCCATGGATGTAAGCATTGTGCCATCCTGCCAATGAACATTTACCAAAAACAATACATAATCCACAAAACCTGTCATAACATATTTGAGAGAAAAAAGAAAACAAATGTAATAAAATTTTTTTTTATTAAAGTGTATTTTTGGAATGAATGATGTTTTTATAATCAGGTTTCTGAACGTGATAGAAACAATAAACACATGTTATACATGCTGCCCCTAAGGGCATACATTAGAATACTGTACGTAACCCAAATTAAATACATTAATCAAAACTTACTTCAAGGGAGCAAAAATGAAATTAATTGACGTATATACATCCGCTCCTAAACTGTTGAAGTTAAAGGAATAGTTTCACCGTTTTACAATACTACATATGTTCTTACCTTTACCTTAGACTAGTTATTACATACCTGTCTGGTCTTAGTCCGTGTGCTCTGTCATGCAAGACGGAGAAAAACGAGCACAACGCAGCCTCCCTCTGATATTTTTGTAGCACCAAAGGTAGCTCCCGCTAGAACTACCAAACTCTTCCAAGTGTTCCCTATTAAATGTATATAGTTACGTGACGGTTTACACTGCAAAGTATAGTAAACACAGAAATGTAACAGTCGATTTTCTCAGCGGATAAAACGGGTACTATATTGTGAGGCGTATTAAATCTGAGGAGCGCTACGTCCGCGCACTAACTTCTCTCCGTACTACAAGTCACGCTGCTATCTATTGACGGAAGTGAGCGAGAGAGAATCTCCGAAGAGAAGTTAGTGCGCGGACGTAGCGCACCTCATATTACTACGCCTCACAATATAGTACCCGTTTTATCCGCTGAGAAAATCGACTGTTACATTGCTGTGTTACTACTTTGCAGTGTAACACGTCACGTAACTATATACATTTAATAGGGAACACTGGAAGATTTGTTAGCTTCTAGCGGGAGCTACCTTTGGTGCTACAAAATATACAGTAGGGGAGGCTGCGGTTGTGCTCCCGTTTTTGCCTCCGTTTGCATGACAGAGCGCTACGGACTACGACCAGACAGATAAGTCTGTCTGGTCTTAGTCCAACAGACGAACCTTTAACTATTCCTTTAAAAGATATTTAGACTTCTGGACAACAGCTCAGAATCACTACACATACACACTCTCTCTAATAACACAACTCGGAATCCTTTAAGGTAAAAAAAAAATTATTACCCATTTGTTATATTGCATCAGCTTGAAGTGCATACTGAAAGTTGGTAGAACTATAATGTGGTTTTCGTTTGTATAACGGCATTACAAAGGGATTCTAGTTGTATACACAGAGCATAAAGCCAAATCATGCATCATCAATGCATAAACAGAACATTGACAGATACAAATTTAAAAAATACTACAGAACTTCTTGGTTTCACATTCTGAAAGGTTTTTCAGCAAAGTTCCAAAAAATAAAAATCACCTTTATGCACACTTTAAAGCTGAGTACCCAACTGTTTCCTGTCATAAAACATCCACGCACCCCAATAGAAAGAGTCCGTAAAAGTCTAACGTTGTAACAAATCTGAACACAACGTGCTTCTTCAACTTATTATGATAATTGCACACAGAAATAGCCTCGTAGTCTCTAATGACGCAGATGAACAAAAAGTGTGTGAAAACTCATGTAGAACTAATAGTTTTGAGCAGAAAAATAGTTTCATAGTTTTTTTTGTGGTTTTTGAAAGTTGGTTTGCCCAGCTCTGTCCAGGCTTTGAGAGTCGGAGATGCAATGTTTACGTCTGGGCGTGTCCATAGGTGCCATCTGGGTTTGTAGTGTTTGGGAAAAGCCAGAAGCTGAACCCGCTGAAGGCACACTTTCTACACCCAATGTTCTTCTGCACGTTTTCCAGTCGACAGACCCTCTCTGTAACAAAACACAACACACACAAAGGAAAAGTAATTAAAATCTAGATCCAACCAAGATCTGTGTATCAGCTTAATTGTACTGCGTGGAGATGAAGGAATTTGATTGATGTGATGCTCATAAAGCTGTCCAGAGGCAGGAACATATCGTATATAGAACGAATATTAGAAGCAAAAAAGAAATACCTATAGTTGTTAAAGAACTTGCGGTCTTAAGTTACATCATCAAGGCAAACTGTTTTTCCTATGAAATCTAAGTTTGTCACATACTGCAAAGAGTCTTCTGATCATCATTTAGCTTTTGACACTGCTATCGAAAAGTGTAAACACTCGACAGCGGTGACTGTGGGAAATGTGCTCACATATATTCCAATTTAAAGCACATTGAATACCAGGTGTGATAGTCCTTCCCTCATGTGGAGGCGTTCAAATTCTTGGGGGCTTGTCACGAGTCAGCGAAAGATGGAAGTGAGATTGACAGCGGTCCGTGCAGCGTGTGCAGTGATTGGTCGCAGTATCAACCGTTGTGGTGAAGAGGGAGCTGACAACCCCCTCCCTCACCAATGTGATAACTTTGAGTAATACAAGTGGTAAACTGAGTTTTCTTCCAAAGAGGCTTGGAGCTCCCTTAGAGATAGGGAGAGAGCTCAGTCTCATGGGAAGAGCTTGAGTAGGGCCACTGCATCTCTATGTTGAGAAGAAGCAAGCTGAAGGTGCTCGCAATCGCTTCAAGCTTCCTGGAAGTCTCTCTGGAAGGTTCTCCACTGTACAGTATGGTCCCAATGGGAGAGAACCCAGGATGAGACTGTCCTCAGCTGGTCGGAAACGCCTCAGGCTTCCCTGATGACCTGACAACAAATACGTAAGAAAAAATGGATGATCGATGGATGGATGGATGATGGATAGTCTTTATAACATTCATTATGACCAACAAGTTAAGATATCAAAAACATACAAAGACAAAGAGAAAATGCTGAAAAGCCTTTCATTCACTGAAATTTGGCAGCAGCACCACCACCTGAAATGAGCACACATAAAGACGTGAGACAGACAGCAGGAGAGGCCCACAGGGTACAGATCATTCTGAGCTTTGGGGGCCACACTTCCGAGAATCGGACCCAGTCACGACAGCCCGGGGCGTTACAGCCCACATCTGCCCCCAACACCGACGAGCCGCTGGGGAAGCACAGCCGATTCCAAGGAAGAGGAGCAGGAAAAGGAAGCGCAAAACTGGGAAAGTACCAAAGAGTGGGAGCCTGTTTGATCAGGAGAGAGGAAAAAAATAATAGCACTTAAATATAGTGAAAAATGGAAAAGGAATTTTTTTCAATTGTTTGTTATTGGAATCACTATTTTTGTAAAGCCGACACTCTGGATTTTTGTATTCAGGAGTACTTATTTGTTGAAGACGCGTATAGCTGCAACCGTTGCACCAGTACACTATTCAAAATCTTAATATTGCTTTCAATTGTGGGGGTTTCATCACTCAAATGCCTGTGCAAGGAACAAATACATAATAATACTGCAAATGTAATGCTCAATGAAAGGGGTACACTACAGAAAAATACCCTCTGTCATACTGCACTAGACGGAGGATAATCACGGCGCTGTTATCAACTGCAGTGTTTGTGAGGACCCAGCAGAGGGTGCCGGTACCCCCGTAAAGCCTGTACCCCTCATGGGTCCAGGCGGCGCTGAAGTGCTGAAGTCCAGTCCGTGCTCTCCTTCAGCAGACACACACTCAGAGTCACAGCCAATGGCTGTTCTGTCTTTGGCACATTACAACTGTCAGACAGAAGCAGTTCACTTTCCTGACACCTACAGGCAAAGCAATGTTTCACAACACTGTTTTACCTCAATATAACAGTTATTGTGATATTAGAATTGAACAAATTAACCAATGTGGCTGATTGACAAGTAATAAGCAAAACAAGGAGCCCTCCGAGTACAAACATGCTGCTTGTATTGCTGCAAATCTAACAACGTCAGTATATTCCTGCTGTGATCTGCACAAACACTGAAGGTATTGGAGACTTTTGAATGGACAAGTAAACACATCAAAAAGTAATAATAATACACTCTGTAATGTTTCAATCAGCACAGATATAAATACATCTTGATCTTTACAGATTTCTCTCCTCTTCTTGAACTGATAGTTGATTGTAACACAAATAGAGTATTGTTAGATATTTGTACGCAGAGGGCTTCTCCTGACGATTAATTCTAAAATCACAGTAATGAAGTCTACTGGGTAGCACCAGCCCAAAAAACCTCCCACTACTTCCTTCTTTTGGCTTCAACACATGATCCAGCCCTGACAAAAGCTGTGGAAGTTCTCTGATTGCTGAAAAGAGCACAGATGACAGGTGCAATTAACATAAGCTTAAATACAGAAATAATACAATTAACTGAAGAACGAACCCATGTGAGGCAGTTGTCTGTAGCTGGTTACATACGCTCTGAAGGCGCTCACAGCTCCTCATGGTTCAAAATCTTCTTGAAGATGAACTGTCTCCAAATCTGCAAAAAATAATCAAAATAATAAAATAGTAAACAAGAGAAGTGGAATGCGTTGAAACTGAAAGCATACTGAATCTTGAAAACCTTCCTATGCATTTTGACCATTATCTCGTTTAGAATAAAAACATGTAAGTATCGACCCTCTCAGCCAGGGTCTGCTTTTGTGATGCCGAGGTTAAAGAAAACCGCTGCATTGAAAATCAGACGCCTCTCTCAGCTCCTGTGCAGCGGCGAGATTTCTGGCGCACGGGACATTCACCACCAACCTGTCCCCTGAAATACAACAAATTAGACATATTTTGAATTGTGGTTGCTACACAAATTTCTTATATGTGCACCAGCACAGTTTAAAGAGTAGTACTACATCTAGAATTACAGCTAACAAGGAGTCACAACTATTTATTTTCTTCTCACCATGTCTCGGTCAGAGTTTGGTCAGAAGGTCCGCTGATTGGTCGCTTTCCCTTCAAATCAGAAAAACAAATGCAACCTTTTTGAGATCACCACGGCCATCACCCATGTCCTCGAGCATGCCAGTTCATCTCCTATGTCAAAACATTTTTATTTGATAGTGGAAGCAGTAGCAGCAGCAGTAATAGTAGTAGTAGAGTAGTACGTAGTACCAAAAGTGCTGAGCTAAGACCTCAAACTGACCAGATCCCCAACAGTGTAAGCTGTTTGCAGGAAGTCGCGTCTCAAACCGTTGTAGAGTTTCCAAACAATGGTATTTGGACCGCAGGTATCTACAGGAAAAAAAACCAACATGTATTGTAAGATCACTTCTGAAAAGAAAAGTGCCCCCACGGAAACTCAGACCTGAAGCAACGTTATTTTAATTTGGATCGTCTGCTGTTCTTTCTTTGATAGGTACCCATTTTTGCCTTCACTTTTTTGTATAATTTTTGGCTTTTAAGCATGATGTTTCATGATATGTACCTCAATGTGAAATGTTTGCAAACTGAAAGGCTGGCATCGACCCGCTAGAAGAGGTTTGCTACTAGATGGAAGCCCCCTCACGACCAGTTACTGTCTCACCACAAGGTTTGTTATAGCAATTCCTTTGAACACCAACAGAGCATACACGGTGGGCTACGAGGTTTGCTTTTGTGATTAAGGTTTGTTTAGTTTGTTCGTGTTGATTAGTAGGGGAATCTTCACTCTCCATTTCTTCTGGACCGCTATTTGTGTCTTTTATATAAAAAGAATTTTAAAAAAACTTTCACCGCTTGACTGAAGACGCGTGTCGTCTCTGGACCAGGGTCTCAGAGCCCTGTTCCACTGTGTCCGCCGCTGCCCCCCGGAGAGCACAGAGGTCAGTGCAGCGTTGCTTTGACACTGCCTCACGCACGCAGTCACGCAGCGCACCACAAGAGGAGCAACTGTTCCGGCCACGACACCAGCGATGAAGGAGAGCAGGTTCGTCTGTGGAAAAAACTTTTTCATAAACGTTAATGAAAAACATGGCTCATTATTAATATGTATATAATCCAGTATATATTACAATCTCGATATAACCCCGTAATATGAATGTAATCATGCACATTTCCTGTTTGCGGCCCCAACATATCATTCTGTGTTCTACTATATTACAGTATCTACAACGACCCTATCAAGTTCTGGCTCTTTTATGTGATTGGTGGTAACAAAGTCCAGTGTCACATACTGCTAGCTTTGAGGCTTGTGTCCGGGAGCTGATGGTTTTTGGTACTCTGCTATTTGCTTTCAGCGATCGACCATCGCAATGATGCATTCCAGGCTTTAAACCAAACTTCGCCCACACCGTGTCCTGCACAAAATCAACAGACCCCCAATATAAAAAGAGATTTCTCTGATGTTTGATTCTTTATAGGACGAATTACTTTGATTATACTGCTTTTCACAGTTCAAAGTGTCAAAGTGAATTACTTGATAAACATTATACCAACATTAAGGGTCCGTGTACCTAAGGCATTTTCTATTTTTGAAGAAAAGGAAAATCAAAAAAAGCTATTTTGCATTTCAGGCACAAAGCAATATACAAAAATTACCATTTTGTGTTGTTTTTGTGCTTAAACAATATATATATAGATATATATAATAGATATATAGTATAATAACCGGATTTGGGAACTCAAAAATGCAATAATTAACTTTTTTTAAATGTTATTTAATAACTTTTCCGTCAATCGATTACGCCGGAGTGAAACAAGTTTGTTTACTTCAGCCCTATTCGCTGTAATTTAGTATAAGTTTAATACAAAAATGACCTCCTGTATGTCCAAACACAAACATTCTGTGATACTAATGCCCGTGAGAATCTGCCTGTCAGTGATTTGATCAGCGATGCCCCTTTCGCTTATACATTCCTGCGTTGTTTTTTGTCAGTGAGCAGAGTATGAACAACTGCAGATCGCGGCGCTGTGTCCACTGGTGAGGTCCATGAGACGTACAGAGGACAGTGTAATGTTGTTCATACTGACACTAAAAAATGAATATAACCATTATAACAAAATGGGCCAGATAACTTAGAGCGTAAAATGTTTGTCCGCTGTCTTTTGGCGCAGCTGTGGTCCATAGACTGTATATACTTTGGGTCAGAAACGCGACTCCCCTCTGGCCTGCGTGAAGGGAGAACCCGCGCACGTGCCCGCCGTTAGTCAGATGTCAGGAAAATAGTATTTACAGATCTTGCTTATCCGTGTGAATGCACTGCACTACTCAACTCCTCGCGTGATGATCACAAATTATCAGAGGGTCCACAGGTAATACTGATCCCGGCCGAGCAAACAAACTTGTTTCACTTTCCGGTAATACATTGACGCCGAAATACAATTTAAAAAGAGGAATTATTCATTTTTCAGTTCACTCAAAAAAAACCCGTTATTATCAATAATAGATTATATATGTCTATAAGCCAATGAAAAAACAAAATAGCCTTTTTTTCAATTTTCCATTTCCCTCAAAAATAAAAAATGATTAGTACACAAAACGACCCCTTAATTTGGTATAATGTTTACATCAACGTAAGTCACTTTGACACTTAACGTGAAAAGCCCTATAAACAAAGTAATTCGTCCTATAAAAATCAAACATCAAACTCTTTTTTATAATGGTCTTTGTTGATTTTGTGCAGCACGTGTGGCAACGTTGTAAAAGCCTGACTGCCATCATTGCGATGTCGCCTATCGCTGAAAAGCAAACACAAGTCCAAAACCATCACTCCCCCCGACACAAGCCTCACAACAGCACAGTAGTGGCACACTGACTTGTTACCCCACATCACATAAAGAGCCAGAACTTTAAAGGTCATGTAGATACTGTATTATAAATAGTAACCACAGAATGATATGTGGCCGCAAACAGAAATGTGCAATTACATTATATTACGGGGATTATATCGCATTGTAAATATACAGAAAATATACATATAAAATACCATTTTTCCATTAACGTTTATGTAAACTTTTTCCACAGCGAACCCCCTCTCCTCATCCTGTTGCCGGGGCAGGAACATTGCTCCCTCGTTGTGTGACGCTGCGTGACTGCGTGCGTGAGGCAGTGTCCAAACAAACGCTGCAATGACCTAATGTGCTCCTACCGGGCAGCGGCGGACACAGGGAACAGGGCTCTGAAACCCATCCAGAGACGACAAACACCCTCTTCAGTCAAGCGGTGAAAGTTTTTTAAATTCATTTTATATAAATAGACACAAATTACGATCCAGAAGAACATGGAGAGTAAGATACCCTAACTAATCAACAAGAACAAACCTAACAAACCTTAATCACAAAAGCAAACCCTCCGTACACCGTGTATGCATTTGTGTTCACAGAATTGCATAACCACAAACCTTGTGGGAACAGTAACTGGTCGTGAGGGGCTCCCTCTAGTACACCATCTTCTAGCTGCGTCAGTTTCAGCCTTCTGTTGCAAACTTTTCACATTTGAGTACATATACAGTGAAACATCATGCTTAAAAAGCCAAAATTATACAAAAAAGTGAAGCAAAATGTACCTATCAAAAACAAACACAGACGATACAAATTAATACGTTGCTTCAGAGTCTGAGTTCCGTGGGGCACCTTTTCTCTTTCAGACAGTGATCTTACAAATACATGTTGGTTCTGTTTTCCTGTAATCACGCGTCACAAATACCTTGTTTTGAACTCTACAACGTTTAGAAGACGCCGACTTCCGCAACAGCTCACACGTGGGGATCCTGGCTCAGTTGAGGGTCTACTCAGCACTTTGTACTACTACTAACTACAACTACTTCTATTACTGCTGCTGCTACTGCTATCCACTATCAATTATAAAATGTTTTGCACATAGAGATGAACTAGCATGCTCGAGGACATGGAATGGCCGTGGCTGATCTCAAAAAGGTTGCATGTTGTTTGATTGAAGGAAAAGCGACCAATCAAGGACCTTCTACACCAACTCGACCGGACCATGTATCAAAAGAATAAATAAATAAGTTGTGACATCCATATTAGCTGTAATCGAATGTATACACTCTTAAACTGTGCTGTGAGCAAATATAAGAAATGTGTGTAGCAACCACAATTCAAAATGGTCTAATTTTTTGTATTTCAGGACAGTTTTGGTGGTGAATAGTCCCGTTCCGGCCATAAAACTTCTCGCCGCTGCCACAAGAGCTGAAGAAGGACGTCTGATTCAACTGCAGGCCGTTTTTTCTTTAACATCGCCATCAACCAACAGCAACCCTGCTGAGAGTCGATACATACCAGTTTTTATTCCTGAAACTAGATCATGGTCCAAAATGCATAGAAGTTCAAGCTTCATTGCTTTCAGTTTCAAAGCATTCCCCTTCTCCTTGGTTACTATTTTATTTATTTTGATTATTTTTGCAGATTGGAGAACAGTTCACTTCAAGAGATTTTTGAAACCCAAGAGAGCTGTGAGCCCTCAGAGCTACTGGAACCACCTGCAAGAACAAACTGCTCACATGGGTTCATCCTTCAGTTAATTGTATTATTTCTGTACTTTACTTATAGTTAATTGCACCTTCATCTGTTCACTTTTCAAGTACCCCCCCCCCCCCCCAACCCTCAGAGACACTTCCCAGCCTTTTGTCAGGCTGGAATCATGTGTTGAAGCAAGCCAAAAGAAGAAGAACGTGAGGTTTTGGGCTGGCTGCTACAGTAAACTTCAATTACCTGTGATTAACCATTAAAGTCAGAGAAAGTCCCTCTGGACAAATATCAAACAAACTCTTTTTTGTGTTACATCAACTATCAGTCAAGAAGAGAGAAAATCTGCTAAAGAAAAACAGGCACTGGCCTCCTTCAGCTGTGCCGGAATTGGAAGAGAAGAAATATAAATATGTATTAAAGAACATAGACTTATTTATAGCGCAACATGATTTAAAACCCAAAATCAGTCTCTTTTTAGAAGCGTCAATAAATACACTCAGGCCGGGCTGGATCTGTGACGAGAGCAGATGGGGAGAGGATGTGTTGTGCTCTGTCTCTCCAGAAGCGACCCTTCAAGGTGTGTTTCTGATCTGATTGTGCTTTATATTTCTCTGACTTTGAGAGAGCTCCTCCACAAGGACAGGACAAAGCTCCAAAATAAGCAAATCGAGCAGAGAGCAAAGGACAGGGAGCGACTCAGGACAGAGCTGCTGTGGCAAAACTAACACATACATATCATAAATACATATATATAGGTTGTCTTTCATGGATATTACTGTTCTCTGGATGGTCTCTCCCTGGTCTCTCTCTGCATTTGTCTTTGTGTTTCTCGCTCTGGTCTTTCTTCGGTCTCTCTCCCTCTCTGGTTTCTCTCTGGTCATTCTGGTCCCTCACTGGTCTCTCACTCTGGTCTTTCTCTCCAGTCTCTGTCTTTCTCTCTCTCTCCGGTCCCTCTCTCTGGTATCTTTCTATGGTCTGTCCGCTCTCTCTCTGGTCTCTCTCCTGTCTCTCTCTCCGGCCTCTCTCTCCTGTCTCTCTCTCCGGCCTCTCTCTCCGGTCTCTCTCTCTGGTCTCTCTCCGGACTCTCTCTCCGGTCTCTCTCCGGTCTCTCTCTCCGGTCTCTCTCTCCGGTCTCTCTCTCCGGTACCTCTCTCAGGTCCCTCTCTCTGGTCTCTTTCTATGGTCTGTCCGCTCTCTCTCCGGTCTCACTTTCCGGTCTCTCTTTCCGGTCTCTCTCTCCGGTCTCTCTCTCCTGTCTCTCTCGTTCCTGTCTCTCTCTCCTGTCTCTCTCTCCGGTCTCTCGTTCCTGTCTCTCGTTCCTGTCTCCCCCTCCTGTCTCTCTCTCCTGTCCCTCTCTCTCCTGTCCCTCTTTCCTGTCTCTCTCTCTCCGGTCTCTCTCTCCTGTCTCTCTCTCCGGTCTCTCTCTCTGGTCTCTCTATCCGGTCTCTCTCTCTTGTCTCTCTCTCTCTGGTCTCTCTCTCTCTGGTCTCTCTCTCTGGTCCCTCATGGTCTCTCTCTCTCTCCTGTCTCTCTCTCTCCTGTCTCTCTCTAGCTTTTCTCTTTCTTTCTTTGCAGAGCATGACTTGTTGTGTCTTGTTTGTCAGTTTAATGTCTCCGTGATTGACAGGAGGCAAGAAGAGACAAGTTTACGATCCGTCTTCAAACACATTCTGAACATTTCTGTTTGAGAGAAGTCAGTGTCAGTGCAAAGAACCACATCAGAAAGGAAACACGTCAGGAACTGGATCAGGAGACACAAGTTATCATCATGAACCAACAGCTCGGATGCTACGGTTACCATGGATACGTTATACATCAATATAAAACAAAATTTAAAGGCAAAGCTCTGGATGTACTGCAGACTTCTGTCGTTTATCCTGAAGCTTCGCCAACACAGATCAGAGAATCAAACAGTGCAAACACAGGAAATGCAACAAAAACACATTTGTCCACAAGGGGCGCATGATCCCTGTGAGTAAGTACGTAAAAAATCTGAATTTAAATTAGTAAATTAGTTACTTCTACTTCATTGTCTCTGTGAAGGGAAATATGTCCTTTGAAGTGAAGAAGAGTATATTGCTGTGGCGCACTTGGTTTATAACTGTCTCTCATGTGGAAGAATCCTGGTTCAATTCCAAGTCTGGTCTTTATTTTTTTGTTGTCAGATTAAATACAAATTGAATATGTATGAATATATATTTCATACATATGGCTATCTGTTGTTGCAATAGTAATCTTGCATTAGGATTAATATTGCATCATCGTTAGAGTAAAACTAAATGATGTGTAAAACACTCAAGACACAATTTTACTTAAAACCACCTGGTGAGTGGTATAGCTGGTGTGTGTCCGCCAATCATGCAAGAGTTCGCAGATTCAAATCCAGCCAAGATCAAAAACTTTTTTATGACGGTTATTTCTTTATACATTTATGTATCTATAAATATCTATATACATCTTTATATATATATATTTATACAGTTTTTATAAAACTGCCGTTAAAAAAAAAAAAACGGTACTTTGATTTGATCTGCCAATCTTACGCACTATAGACGAATGTTTAATGACTGCGCCACTTATTTTGTGTTTTGGAAAAGAAAAAACCGAAAGATTCTATTGTTGTTTTACGACATTTCATCAAGAATGGAGCCAACCAAAGATGGTGAAGAGTGATGGATTGAAATATACAAGCAGAAAGTTGTGTAATTGGAACATGAGGTTTCATCTCTATATTGTTAAAATCTTCATTTCTGTTCTTGGACCGTTTAAGCTGTGTCTTATACTTTGCATTCTTTTATAAAAAAATATATGTATTAATGCTCTTTCTTATTGTTCCATGTTTCTGATGTGGTTTTATTAAAGAAGAGAGAGAAATAAAATAATTTTTTCTTTTGTTTTATATATATATATATATATATATGATGTCATACATATTAAATTTGTATTTAATCTGACAAAAAATAAAATAATGACCTGTCCTGGATTTGAACCAGGTATCTTCCGTACGAGAGGCAGTTATAAACCAAGTGCGCCACTTGATGACGCAGCTCAAATGGAATTTAAACTATATATAATACATGAAATTAAGTCTTTCAACAAATTTATGCAATAACATATTATTATTACTCAAACAACATTTTTCAAACAATTTATGGCACTTCCGACATTCTTCATGAAGTGTTTGGCCCAAGGATCCAACATCAGCAAATGTCATTGGTAGTCACTGGGGATTTGAACTAGCAACCATCAACACCGTAGAACTGTGCTTTTCCATCTGAGCCACTGGACCACTAGCTCCAGTAATGCTGCTTGTTGTGTTTTGTACAGGCTGCTTTCAACTGTATTTGTTGCCCACATGCCGTTTTAAACGCCATTTATTCCCCACATGCCGTTGTAAACGCCATTTATTGCCCACATGCCACTTTACACGCCATTTATTCCCCACATGCCGTTTTAAACGCCACTTGTTGTCCACATGCCGTTTTAAACGGCATTAATTGCCCACATGCCGCTTTACACGCCATTTATTCCCCACATGCCGTTTTATACGCCACTTGTTGTCCACATGCCGCTTTACACGCCACTTGTTGTCCACATGCCGCTTTACACGCCATTTATTCCCCACATGCCGTTTTATACGCCACTTGTTGTCCACATGCCGCTTTACACGGCACTTGTTGTCCACATGCCGCTTTACACGCCATTTATTCCCCACATGCCGTTTTAAACGCCACTTGTT